TCCTGTTTGGACTAGAGCAGATAGTTTACAGTCTCCTCCTTTCTCCATTTTTTGACCAATGTGGGTGGTTACAGCCAGCTCATACCTAATTTACAATGACGTCTGCCATGAAAGAAGCAGTGAAATGACACTCCTTAGTCAATGTGTGATGGTCCATTTTCAGTTTCAGGAGGAAGCATTTCCATACCCCCATTCCCTGCCTGCCTGCCTGTTAGGTTTACCATAGGCTTGTCTACACATGAGCGCTTCTCTACAGCTCTTCAGTGCAGTCCCTACCACTCTGGTGGTGGAAAGCACTCTCTTGACAATATAGCTAATCCACCTGCCAGAGGGTCAGTAGCTAGATTGATGTCAGAATATGTCCATGAAACTCGTACTGTCTACACCAGAGGTTGGGTTGGCTATACTCCATCGTTTGTCATGTGGATTTTTCATAGCCCTCAGCAACCACACTGTATTGACTAACATTTTCATAGCAGATATGTTGGGAGGGCTGATTTTCATGGGAACAATTGGATAGCAACATGGAGAACAATTTGCAAATGAAACAAACTGGAGCAATACAACACAGATGTGGGATGCAGTACTGCATGCTGTTTCCAATCCCACAGAATGTCAGGAGAGAAGGGAGTATTTTAGCCCTAAATATTTCCTCTTTCCATTTTAAAAGACTTGTGAGCATTTGAAGAATTTCAGGGGAAAAACAAGAGACTTACCCATTCTCCTTTGCAGGTTTTCTGTGAAAAAATAAAGACATGATTTATATTATTGATGGACTTGTTTGTTATGGAAGAGCTAAGAAGTTACATGATCTGTAAATTGTGTTTTAAAGTCTGGTTGCAGAGTCATCTTGCATCAGCAGAAATGAAATACATTGCTGAAAAGCTCCTTCAGAGCTGTGTGAGGGCAGCATAATGTAACAGAAAAGTGAGACATAATTATTGACGGGAGTCGCAACAAAAATTTTGGATGTATTCAAGGGCTGCATCATTCTCTGATATTAATGGAGGAGGAGCAATGTCTGAGTGCAGAAGGGAACTTGGACTAAGGGGCTGTGTCTAGACTGGCAAGTTTTTCTGGAAAATCAGCCGCTTTTTTGGAAAAACTTGCCAGCGCTTGAATTTCCGCAAAAGCACTGACGATCTCATGTAAGATCGTCAGTGATTTTCCGGAAATACTATGCTGCTCCCGTTTGGGCAAAAGTCTTTTTCCGAAAGACTTTTGCGCAAAAGGGCTAGTGTAGACGGCACAGTACTTTTTTCCGCAAAAAAGCCACGATTGCAAAAATGGTGATTGGGGCTTTTTTGCGGAAAAGCGCGTCTAGATTGGCCACGGACGCTTTTTCGCAAAAAGTGCTTTTCCGGAAAAGCATCCTGCCAATCTAGACACGCTTTTCCGAAAATGCTTTTAACAGAAAACTTTTCCGTTAAAAGCATTTCCGGAAAATCATGCCAGTGTAGACATAGCCAGGGATTGTTGAAAGAGATCTAGGAGGGTCTTAAGCAAAAAAGGGAGTTGTAATCTCGATCAAGACACTGGGGTGCAGAAGGAGGTGTAGGGCTGGGAGCACGTATGTGTACAGAAGAGGATTCTGTCCTGGATGAGGGGTGTAGGAGGAGGTGAAAAGTCTGGGAAAGGATTGTAAAGTGTAGCTGGAATGCTTGGTGTGGGGTCTGGGTGGGGGTAGATGATTTAGGTGTGAGTATAGGAGGAGGACACATTGAGGATATGGAATGCTGTATGGGTACTGGACGGAGGAAAGGGGGAATAGAGGGTTTGGGTTACCTGGGGTTTGGGTTCAGGAGGGGGCAGAGGGCTGGGTGAGGGGGATAGAAGCAGGATCTACCTGGGAGACACTTACTTGAGTGTCTCCTGGCCAGCAGACCTACCTAGCAGGTTCCTCAGCCAGTCAGGGGTCATGTCCTCTCTGAATGCTGTGAGCTCAGAGGGAGGGAGGAGGGTTCATTTCCTGACTGCCTGTCCTACAAATAGGCAGCTCCCACTGACCTGAACCTGACCAATGGAACTGAAAGATTGTTCAGGTAGCGGATACAGCGGGTGAAGCCTCCCTCCCCTGTGAACTCGCAGAATTCAGATGGCTGCTCCGAGCAACAAGCAGTTGCTGGATAGACAGCTATCCAGGCTGAGGGCCCCGCTGAGTCTGCAGGCTCGATCAGTTGCTTTGGCTGGCCGGGTCTGTTCTGCGGGCTGTATTTTAACCACCCCGGTCAAAAACCAGATGGTGAATGGGATGCTTTCTTTAGTCAGTACCATAAATATGGGCTATAACTAGTTATGGGCACAGAGACTTTACCAACTGCTCTAGCTGTCATCTACCCTCGTTGCATATTCCCATCGGGGACAGAAGCATGATATTTATTGATAATAGCCCATTGGAAGCCCTGACTACCTGCAAAACTTGTTGAGATCACCCTTTTTCCATATTAGATGGCTTTAAGTCAGGTTTCAACCATATTTGCTGTCTCCACTAATTCATTGATCACTACCAGTCAAAACAGCTTCCAAAGCAAGGTTACCCTGTGCTGGGTGAAATGCATTCTGAACTAAAAAATCATCACTTTTATATTTTAAAAACAAAAACTTTGTTAAATGTTGTGTCATTATGCTCTGCCCTGGACTTCAAGCACAGGAACGAAACTGGAGGGAATCAAAACAGATTATTGAGGAACCAATGCAGAAGTGAACTGTGAAAAAAATATATATTTTAAAATCTTCATTGAAATGGATTCGAATGGAAAAAGTAAATCTAACCTGATTCAGCGTGACCCCTTTTCCTTTCTGTATCTGGGGAATGAAACATTTTTCAAAAACTAAACAGGTGTATTCTTCAAGTCTACCCAGACAAAACATCTTTTCCTCTCACCAAACTTAGCAATTATTAATGCTCATGACATATACGCGTTTTCATTTAATTTAGAGCTCTTCTTCTATGCAAAACCATAAAATCATGATTTTTAAATGATGAGTGATAGACAATCTACCGTGAAACTTTGTAAATTGTTCCCATGGTCAATAAATCTCACTGATATAATTATACATTTCATTTCCAAACTGAGTTTCTTTAGCTTTACTTCCAGCCTTTGGAACTTGTTAGATCTTTCTCCTCCAGATTAAGGATGTTATCAAAGATTTGATCCCCATGTACATACTCATACAGGTGAACCAATCATCCCCTATCATTATTAAATTGAATTAATTAGCTCCAGAATTATACCATTATGAGACATGCATTAGAATCCATTAATCATTCTCATGACTCTTCTCTGAACTTTCTGCAACTTAATTACTTCTTTCATTAAGTATCATATGGAATTGATTTAGGATGGCATCATCTGGCACATTCTTTCACAGTTTGAATGACAAAAGAGTTAATTGCAGGGAATTAAAAAGTAACCTGGGAATCTTTAGTTCAGACACTGCATAATATATAATCCTTTTTTAACAGAACTGGTGCTAATGCTGAAGACGGCCGGACACTTTTGACAGGATATAAGGGGACTAAACACTCAAGCAGAGGGTGATATTTCCAATTGCGTCCTTCAGGCTCACACAGGTAACAGGAAGCAGGCGATACTTCCCATGCCACCTGTTACATGCGAGCAGGGTTGGCCTGGAGCACCAGTGCTCCCGGCTATGGGTAGGGAAGATAACACTCTGTTAGAATCCCTGTCCCTCTTACAGGCAATCTGAGAAAGAGAAGAGAGACCAGAGAAATGGCTCCTTTCCCCAGAGATATAAGCAATGGGAGACAGGACAATATCAAATCTGTACATGGGCTGCCACTTACCTAATTTATTCCTCAATTCAGCTGGAAAAAAGAAAAGACTACATCAATAAGAACTCCTTTTAAACACTTCTTCAGTGTTTTCCATGATATAGATGTACAGATACTCGGTAAATGAATTATACTGTGCAAAATCCGTGTTGACTTTAAGTTAAAAAAAAGTAAGGCAACATGATAACCAAGAAGCAGGAATAATTGATGGTGGTAAAGGTTCAAAGTTTAGGTGATTGATCATCACTAACAGATATTAGTTTGGAATTTGCTTTGGCTCTCCAATGATGGCTAATGAAGAGTTCAGGGCCTGACCCAGACCTGCAAACGTGTCCGTGGCTCTGTCCTTCCCCACAGATTCAGATGTACAACAGGGAGAAGGCCCCTATGGGTGAGCAGTGTGGGGATTTGCTGTGTGTCTGTCTGGAGCTGCTGCATTCCCTGCTAAGGCTGAGGATTATAATGGACTGTCACTCTCCCATTCCCTCTCAGAGGAAGCCCAGGAGACAGAGAAGAGACAGCAGAAGAGGCCCCCTCGGCAAATATCCAAGTAATAGTAGTGAAGGGCCATAGCAAGGGTGCACATAGGTCTTCACTGACCTAAATCCTTATTCATCACAGCTGTAAACAAAGCCAATACTGACTGCATTTTATACCCTTCATTGGTATTTTCACTAGCACATACTGCAGTAAAATTCCTCAAAATGTTGCATTAAAGGGATTTGGAACCCTGGTCTGTGCTGGCAGAGACTCATGAGACTTTTTTCATATGGGTGGGGGAGAGGGGAAACTTGGGAGCTCTGCAGAGGAGGTGGCCAGCCAGGCCTGGGGGAGGGGGAACTGTTTTCTCTATGTCCCTGCAGCAGTGGGGGGTGTCTGCATGGCCTCAGCTTTTGCAGCCCAGGCACAGCTCTAGCAGGTCTGTCCTCCTGCACCCTGCACCCAGAGCTCTGTTATGCAGCATTTCTATTCAGTGCATGGAGCGGGCAGCTGAGCCCAGGCTCAGACTGCCCATCATCCTCTCCCCTCTCAGGTTCTGTGCACAGAACAGGGGAGGGCTCAACTCCATGATGAACAGGGGTTCCAGAGACTCCTTGTTTGGATCCTCTTCTTTGCGCTCTCCCAAGGCTGTGTAAATGTGACTAGGGAACTAGACATGCTCACCCATTTCCTCTTCATGTTGCTCTGCAAAAATACAATGGAGAGAAAGAAGGAAAAATTCAGTTTCTTCCCATTTCTGTGCAAATTGGGGTTATGGAATGAGATTCCTTTATATACAATCATACCCTGTTTGTTATCATCACAGAGCGTTCCTCAGCCATTCGAAAATAGGGCCGAAATTTAATACCCCTATGCTTACATCGATTAAATAACAGATTCCAGTATATTTTTAATGGCTTAGTATCTTCATGTTGACAAATAGTTGCCAAAATGGGTAAATACTGCCTCATAGTCTCCAAGGAGGGAAGGGGCCACTGATTGTCTTGTCTAATCTGCTGCATAACACATGTGAGAGAAATGCCCTGCAATAGTTCCTGTTTGAAGTAGAGCAGATTTTTTAAAGATTCCTCCCTTCTCAATTTTTTGAAAAATGCCAGTGATTACAGCCAATGCATACTTAATTTTCAGTGACTTGTCTACTTGTAAGGACTTCTCTGCAGCTCTTCAGTGTAGTCACTCTTCCTCTTGTGTTGGAAAGGGCCCTCTTAATACTTTAGTTAATCTGTCCTCTATAGAGGCAGGAGCCAGGCTACTCCGATAGCTACTCCAATCTGTGTGTGGGCGTGGGGTATGCAGGGATCCGGGCTGAGGGTCCTGCCGAGTCTGTCAGCTGCATCAGGTGATTTGGCAGGCCAGGTTTGTCCACCTGTCTTTTGCCCACCCCTGGTCAAAAACCAGATGGTGAATGGGATGCTTTCTTCAGGCAGTTTCATAAATATGGGCCGTAACTGGTGATGGGCTCAGAGCCTTTATAGACTGTTCTAAATGTCATTGCATATTCCCACTGGGAGCAGAAACAAGCGATATCTGGGGAAAATATCCCATTGGAAGCCCCAACTACCCTGTAAATCTTGTTGAGACTGCCCTCTCTCCGTATTAAATGTAATTAGGTCAGGCTTCCACCATTCTTGCTGTCACCACTAATTCATTGATTTTTACCAGCGATAACTGGGTCCAAAGAATCATTATCCTGTGCTGAGATCAATGATTTTTGAGCCAGGAAATCATCACTTTCATGTTTTAAAAACAGAAAATCTTGTTAAATGTTATATCATTACAATCTACACTGGACTTCAAGCAGAGGAACGAAACTGGAGAGAAACAACACAAAAAGTATCAGTGAAAAAAAATATATTTTGAAACCATCTTTCAAATGGATTAGGATGGACAAGGTAAATCTTACCTGGTTCAGCATGACCTCTTTTCCTTTCTGTATCTGGGGAATGAAACATTTTCCAGTAACTAAATGTGTATATTTCCCAGGTCTACCCACACAAAAACGTCTTACCATCACCCAACCTAAAAATCATGGATGTTCATGATACATAAGTTTTCAGTTCATTTAGAGCTAATCTTCTATTGAAACCCACACAGTCGTGATATTTAAATGATCAGTTATAGACCATATGCCATAAAATGTTGTAAATTGTTCCAACAGCCAATAAATCTCTTTGATATAACTATATATCTTATTTGCAATCGGAGTTTCTTTAGCTTCACTTCCAGTCATTGGAACGTGTTAGAGCTTACTCTTCCAGATTAAGGAGAGTTTTATCAAATTTTAGTTCCCCATCTACGTACTCAGAGAGTTGAACTAGTCACCTGCTGCCATCATTAATTCACTCCAGAATTCTATCATTATAAGGCATGTACTGGAATCCATTAAATATTCTCATGACTCTTCTCTGAACCTTCTGCAACTGAAGAACTTATTTCACTAAGTGTCGCATGGGATTGATGTAGGATGGCATCATGTGGCACATTCTTGCATAGCTTGGATCACAAAAGAGATAATTGCAGAGACCCAGCAATTAACTCTTTTAGTTCAGACCCAGCATAATTTATAATCCCTTTGGAACAGAACTGGTGCTAATGCTGGAGACTGCTGGATACTTTTGAAAGGATCTAAGGGGACTAAATATTCAAGTAGAAGAAATATGTCCAGTTTCGCCTCTCAGGCTCCGACAGGTAACAGGAAGCAGGCCACATCACCCATGCCACCTGCTATCTGTGAGCAGTGTTGGCCTGGAGCAGCTGTGCTCTGGGCTACAGGTAGGGAAGATAACACTGTCAGAATCCCCTTCCCTCTTACAGGCAGTCTGAGAAAAAGAAATGGCTCCTTTACCCAGGGATTGAAGCAATGAGAGACAGGACAATATCAAGTTTGTACATGTGTCATCACTCACCTAATTTATTCCTCAATTCAGCTGGAAAAAACAAAAGACTAAATCAATAACAACTCCTTTTAAACACTTCTTCAGTGTTTTCCCTGATACCATAGATGTACAGATACTCGGTAAATAAATTATATTGTGCAGAACCCATGTTGACTTTAAGTTAAAAAAGAGCAAGACAACTCGATAACTAGATAGCTGGAACAATTCATGGTAATGATGGTTAAAGTTTGGGTGATTGATCATCACTAAGAGTATGTCTATACTTGCCCCCTAGTTCGAACAATGAGAAGTACCAGTTAATTCGAGGGAAGGGATTTAAATTGGACTACCGCGTCTACACGTGGCAAGTTACATTGGGTGCCCGGCATTTTAAAATGGTGACCAGCTGCGAATATGTTAATCAAGCATTGAATATTTAAGTCCCATGCTTGATTTGGAACTTCGGTATGCTTCATTTCTCTCCCTAGTTCGAACTAGGAGGCAAGTGTAGACATACCCTAACAGATATTGGTGTCGAATTTGTGTTGGCTATCCACTGGCAGCTAATGAAGAGTTCGGGGCAGCACCCATAGGTGCCAACGTGTAAGTGTTTCTGTCCTGCTCCACAGATTCAGATGTACAAGGAGAAGGCCACTATGTGTGAGCAGTGCGGGGAGATATAGAGTGTCTGCCTGAGGCTGCTGCATTCCCTGCTAAGGCTGAGGATGAAAATGGACATTCAAGATCCCCCTCCCTCTCAGAGGCAGCCCAGGAGAGGGAGGAGAGATAGTAGAAGTGGCCCCCTGGGCAAATATTCAAGTTATAGGAGTGGAGGGCAATAGCAAGGGGGTACATACGGTTTCACTTACCAACTCCATTCCTCACCAGAGCTGGAAAAAAAATAAGCCAATAATAACAACCTTTTAAACAATTGTCCAGTACTTACACTAACATATTGCTGTGAAATTGAACAACATTTGGTATTAAGGGGATCTGAGATCCAGGAAAGGCACAATAGAGCTTTTTGAAATCTTCTTAGCCAAATAGAATATATTACCATGTTGCAAAACTACTATTTACTTGGGATGCAAAAGAAAAAAACAAAATAGACCCTTTTACACATACTCCCTCTTCTGTGTTAAGCTAAATCGATTCAGCTCCTTGAATCATTAGCATTAAGCACATTTGCTAATCCTTTTGTCAACTTCCTTCTTCAAGAGTGGACACCAAAACTGGACTTAATATTCTAGAAATGCTCACCTCAGTGCATAACAACCATCACTTCCAGCCCTAGGATTGTATAATTCTGTGACTGCAGGCAAAAATATATTCAAGTTTCCAAAAAATTGTAGATGCTAATTCATCCAGGTATAACTACACTAACATAACTGGGGTTATAGCAGAGATTAATTTAGTCACTTCTGTGTGGTAGAATGTTTTCAGAAGGAACACTTCTCTAAACAACAAATACATCCCATCCTCCAGATCTCCATATACAGGCCGTCCCCGGGTTACGTACAAGATAGGGACTATAGGTTTGTTCTTAAGTTGAATTTGTATGTAAGTTGGAACTGGCTCCAGATTCAGCTGCTGCCACTGAAACTGACCAGGGGCTGACTACAGGAAGCCGGAGGCAGAGTTGCTCTGCCCCCAGCTTCCTGGAATCAGCCTGATCAGTTTCAACAGTTGCTGAATCTTGAGCCTGGGACTGAACAGCTGGGGCGCTGCCAGGTAGGGTCCCACAGGACCAACCCGT